TTCTGCGATCATATTAACTCACTTAATCCCTACACACAGAAATTATACTACTATTCTACAGATGAGGGAGCTGAGAAGTAGAAGTTGTAACTTGATTCAAATAGGTCTATTAGTCTCCAAACCCCAGATTTCAGTCTCAGTGGAAGGACTAAGACCTACACAGGCAAAACACTGGGAAACAATACAATAGGTATCTTGTAGCAAAAACAGAAAAGAAAGTGTTATTTTAATTGGAGAGGAGATGATGGAATGGAGGTGTCTCTACTTGATGCTTAGGCCCAGGATGGTCATGATGTAATATGGTCAACAAAAGTCAAAGTGAGTCAGAACACATGTGCTGCTGACCAGCACTACGCTTGGACAGAGAGCTAGAAACATCCTGCAAAAGAGCATCTGAAAACTGCTCAAGAGTGTTCCTCTTCTAATTTAAGCCATAGATATCTCTGAAACTATATTCCCTTGTGTCATGATATGTATCTTAAATGTTTGAAATATGAACCTCCCAAATGTCACATGAGGACATGAACATTTGACATTCTTTCTTACATCCCCAGAGCCACGGGGTTCAGGCTGTTTGTGCAGAGGACACTTAGGTGACTGCAAGTCCTAGTCATTTGATCCCATTTGGCCATTCTCCAACTCCTTGGTAAGGGAACAAGGATACTTGCTCTTTTGGGGGTGGATTTTGTTCTGTCTTTGAAAAATAATTCAGTCAGCTTCTGCTGCAACACCTGATAAGGATGCCAGGGCATTAACATCATCTAAATCAAAATATTCTCATTCCTTGTAGCTTACCTGAAAAATTATTGTGCTAGAGGGTTAATCATGAACTGATTGCATTTACTAAAGAAAAATTATCAATAATCTGCCTGTCAGAAAGGCCCGTCTTATTTTTAGCTAACAATGGAACAAAGAGCAACTGAAATACATCAGATTCACACACACTGAGTTTCTCTCTCATGCCTTCTTCAGCATTAATCAAAATGATGCGTAGGATGGCATACACCAATGACTTATCAAAGCACTCACTATGTTCGTCATTTGTATGAGATAATGCTGGTGTTTTCTCATTTTCACTGTGAAGAATCTGTGGTTTCCCCTGAAGAGTAGAATAGGATCAAGGAGGCAATTCTTGCTGACTTGAGGCCATCACAAAAGACTACATTTCTTAACACGAATATTAATAGGAGCAAATGTCCCAAAGGGAATCCTCCAGGACAAATCCTCTGAATGACCTATATGCCCCAACTGTCTGCAAGCCAGGCAGCTGTAATAGGCAGATCTCAGAGCTGTATATTGGACATTAGAGGCATTCACTCCATAACCAGTAAGGTCTAGTGGATATAGATTTCCACACAATCTTTTTTAAAGTTTGTTGGTACATTTTAGATATAATGATCATGTTCTTCATAGAGAATTTGTACCCATACATAATATACTGTGATTCTGCTTTCTTTTCCTAATACATCAAGCTACCTCATGTTGAAGAATAAACTGAAACCCAGTTCCCACCCAAACTTCTGACAAAGAGTAAAATTGGTCACCTTATGGAAATACATTGTAGCTCTCTACCCCTTTTCAGAATGATTTTGCAACAGCTCATTCTGTGACATTGTATCAGTGAGCACATATTCATTGAGTAGAGTTAAATCTGTTGATAATGTTAGCGCTTAAAAAATCTTAGATGAGAGAATCCTATACAGTGTTGAAACATCTTTCAGTTGGGACTGGCTTTCTTCAACTCATAAGTTAGTCTTTCTTTCTGGTCTTCATCCCATTTGACACAGATGCTGTACATGTAGTCCTGTGTGATCACACTGTCTCCTCCTTGTGACTCTGGCAAAACCCTGTTTCTTGTTTTGCCTGGAGACAAGAGGAAAAGAATTGAGGAGTGAGAAATGGTAACCCAATAGACCTGGCATGACTTGGGCATGAATACACACACACACACACACACACACACACAGTTTTTGAAAGGGGATAAGAATGGTTCCCTGTAGGAGTACTTTAAACATAGACTTATTTCAATAAGTTGAATGAAGACACCTTCCTGATCTATCCTACCACTCGTCTTCCAAGCCAAAGACTTCTCTGGTTGTTTTAATAGATCTAGAAAAGTGTAGTAATGCTTAATAGAAAGTGATTTTGCCAAAAAGCTGCCTAGATTGACCTAGTAATTCACAAGAAAGCTGGAACCATACTGAACTTTTTCCCAGTGCCAGAGCCAATGGAACTCTAGCCAGTCTGCTTCCTTGTAGCCTCTTTTTAATTTCCTGGTAAATCTCTGTGCCCTGTCTCAGTGTCTAGCTAGGAAAGTTTAATTTTTTTCTCACAGGAGATATGACAGGGATTTTTTTTTAAAGTTGTGCGTGCGTGCATGCATGCATGTGTGTGATGTCACCAACAGCTAACTGAAGACACATTTGTCTGGTTCAAAAATACAGACTCTTGGGCCATATTGAGACAAAAGTTCTTGCTATACATGGTGTTTAGGAGAGTCACTTTCTACTAATTGTTGGGGCCATTCCTCCCTCTACATTTTTAGTTTTCCAAAGTAGCAGTGATTTCCATCAGTATCTAACCTTCTTCATCATCTTCCTTACCCTAGAGTTCTGTAAAGTAGGATGAATTCCATCTCATGGTTTTATGATAAAAGCAAAATAGTGACAATCAAAAACTTAAAAAGCAAGCCTGAAAGAGACCAAGATATAAAAGTACCAGTGAGAATCAACCTACTTTCTCCAGCCCATTCTAGATAGCCACCCTCAAACAGGCTTCCCAGTAAAACTGTCCAACTGGGCTGGCAGTTCCAGTCTGTTCACTACCAAAGATAAAGTCCTAGAGAATCCTTATCAAAGAAAATACTGGATGGCTATTTTCCTACTGCTGGAGCTTAAAACATTATTATTTGTTTAAAAATTCAAGTTGTCTGTTCCTATTTTATTCCAAATGTATTTAGCTATCCAAGTGATTTGGGGACAGATCAAAGTGTAAACTCTCAAAAAATTAAAACCTGGCATGATAATTTCCAAATTGTTTTGGCAACTGAATTTAGCCTAATGCACTATCACCAAAAACAGATAGTACCTTAGCAGAAATAAAATATTTTTGTAATTAACTTTCATACATTATATCTAAACAGTGCTTCCAAAGTTCTGGAAAATATTTTATGTTCCCTAAAGTAAAAACCTCCCCTCCAACAATTCCCTTTCTTTGGATAAATTTAGTGCAGTTCTTGTCAGAATGATCATAGATAACAAACCAATGGGTTCCAAAACCTAATTAGATCCACTTATGAGCCAGTTAACTGACTGACTTTTTCATCAAGAAAGTCTGGCCTCTTGAGAAGCACAAAATAGGTTTCTGAAGTAGCAAAACCTCATTTCCCTTCAAAAGCAATTACACATAGGTCGGAGCTTGGCATGTGATTAAGCACAATTGCATTTTAAGAAAAGACAAATCAGAGAATAAGAAAATGGACTAATGTGGGAATAAAAATGGCTATGAGCCAAGAGAGCAAAGATTCAGGTTCTCACTGACTCCCAGGGATCTGGTCTGACCATTGACCTTGCAGTACCCAAGCACAGAGATCCTTCTTCCCAGGAGTCCTGACAGCTTATATATCAGGCTTCTCAGGATCTCATGACAATCTTCACATTCTTGAGAAACAGATCACCATTCTGGATAGGACAAGACCCTCCTGTCATCAATGCACAATGATCTGGGAAATACAGATTAAATTAAATTACTGGCACTCAATAACTAGATGCTTTGGGCTGGGGATTTAGCTCAGCGATGTAAGTGCCTGACTTGCAAGCGCATGGTCGTGAGTTCAATCCCCAGTACCGGAAAAAAATAAATAAATAAATAACTAGATGTTTGCTGAGCAGACTTGGGAGTCCAGATAAGCTTTGAAAGGGGCAATGATCCCTAGCAACAAAGCCTTCATGAAACTATAGTAGATTTATTCTACTACAGAACATACAACATATGATTGAAACATATGGTGAATGTTTAAATTTAGTAGATTTACTATGATAAAACACACGTTACCATTAACGTCCCTCAAAATATTCTCGATTGACTCAAAAACACTCATCCCATTGTTCTTTCCACTTTCCGAAGCAGTTCTGGAGGTCCTTTTTTGTGAGGGTCTCTAGTTGCATTGTATGGCTGCCATGTCCTGAATCCATTCAAGACATTTAACTTTCATGGTCACTTTGACTTTGAGAAAGAGCTAGAAGCTGGACAGTGCTAGGTCCAGTGAATAAGGTGGATGAGGACATGCCATAATAGTTTTAAGAGCCTGTCTTTCTGTGGGAAGGCACTTGGCCACAGCAGTTACTGTAATTTTTTATACCTCATAAAGACAAAAATATAATTATGGGTAAGGAAAAAAAACCCTCCACCTTTGTGGATATTGCATTTTAGTTAAATATTTTTGAACATTTCTTTGACTATGACTCATGATAGGAAATAAATATTTAACTCGCACATGTTATATCATATGAGTACACACACATACATTTGACACAATACTTTTACACACACAAATGAGCCTATCTTTTATACACACAGCATATTCTCTGATATTCTGTTGTATTTTATTTCTTCTTTGTTAAAGTTGGTCATAACCAATTCAACTGATTTTGTGATCTAACAATGAGTCATAATCCACAGTTGGCAAACACTGTGCTACCTGAGTTGAAAAGAATGGAACTAACATTGATATTATTCAGTGTTACTTCAAAGCTGGAAGACTACATTATGTCTTTGTCAGTGTAAAGTTTAAAAGGAGGATGAAAAGGGACCGAAGAGCTCTGTCGTTTTGCAGCTTGGAGTGGATTTTTGAAGATGGACTAACTTCAGTTTTGATCTCCCAAAGGGTCCAAACTTCACCTCTTTGTAATATGCCTTTGGTTTGCTCCCAGCAATAATAATGTATTGAAAAAAAAAAAACACACAACTTTTCCCTCTAATCCTTTGTTGTCTCCATGTAGGCTGACCACAGAGTATCCAGGCCATTACGGAGAGGAAATGGACATGGTTTCCTACAACTATGATTACTATATCCGAGGAGCCACAACCACTTTCTCTGCAGTGGAAAGGTGAGAACAATGGCTGTTTCTTCGTGGGCTGGGACTCACAGGGAGTGGAGGCTAACTCCATGCAAGGACTATGTTTGCAGGAATTTTGGTCTGGGATTTTCCTATTTTAGTTTCTTCTTTAAGAATTAACTAAGGGTTTGGCTGTTGGTCAGGAAAAAATGAGAAATGAGTTATCCTCTGGAACTCAGTTCATCATGGTGCCCTGATGATGGATTCCAGCTTGCCTGAGAAAGGAGTCCTAAACACGGTGTCCCTGTATGCTTTAAATTCTTCCCATCGCTGAATTCAAGGAGAATTTTTGTCACTAAGCATGAAAAGAGAAAGACAAAAATGATTAAAGAAGCATCTGCTGTCAATCAGGACCCTTTCTTGTCCAGCGCCTCTATCTGATCACATTTTAGGCTGTTGGAAAGGAGAGAAAAGGGAGAGAGATGAGGCAGAAGGACCATGCAAGACCTACTGTCTGTGCCTGTTTTGGTGGCTCTTATACAAAACATTGGGCTGGAATATTTCTAAACAATATAAATTTAACTCTTAAAAGAGCAGGATGAATGCCTGGCCATAAAACCTTGTTTATCTTTGCCTTTTAGTACATAGATACCTAAAACCTTGCTGCAGTAATGAAATTCATTTGGTAAACACACATGCCAGCTGTTTGCTGAAGTCCTAAAACAAGTTATGGCCACTGTTGACATTTGCAGGAGCAAATGCCAATAAAAAGCCCATCACCCAGTCCCTAGAAAACCTGTCCTGGGGTTTCTGTTCCCCATTGCTCTACAACAAAAAGTCTGGAGCAGCCTGTAGGAACAATAAAGCCTCCTTAATCTGTAGGGACAGAGGGCACTGCCCCTCACAGCACTGCCAGCGGTCAGCCCCCCTGCCAGTCAGCTGAGCTAATAGCAGGCCTGGCATCAAAGTGAAACTGAACTGGAAAGAGCCCTGAGTTTAAAATAAAGAAAAGGACATCATCATGCTTTGAAAAGATTTTCATGATTAGATGCAGAGAAATTCTTTGCTTTTGCCCTTTATTAGGACCATGTAAAGGGCATGAGAGTCACATCCTGAGGTGCTATGGGCACCTCGTTAGGGAGACAGAGCAGTTCTTCAAATTGAAAACCCAGATCTGAGTCTAAGATGTGGACTCCGCCATCATCACCAATTCCCTGTGTCCCCTTGGAGAAATTCACTTGTTTCTCTGAACCTGCTGCTTCAGGGAAACAATGGATCACTGTGAAAATTATTGAGGAAACATGTTGAACTCAGTACAATGCTGGAAATATTGAAGTGCACATTGCATAATAGTTGTAATTGTGATTCTCGTTATTCAATGCCGTTCGGCCACAGGAGTGCCAGGCCTAATAGATTTTACTAAATGGCTGAATGAAGAGCATTACTTTGTCCCTAGCAAAGAACATTCCTTGGCACATACCCAGACCATGTTTTTCAAAACCGGACAATCCTGTTCTCTAAGATTCGTCTCCACCACTTTAACAATAAGCAGCTCCATTTCTGATGGGCCAGAATAGCTGGCATTCTCTTTCTCGCTTTGAGGAGTTCTTGGTTGCTTTCCCTTTCCCTTCTTTTCTCTGTGATGGTACTCTCTGAAAAAGAAGGCTACCCTCGGAGGTCTGGAACCCAGCACAGGTGAGTGCTCTGTGAAAGGAACAATGAGAAGAGAGACTGATGACCTTTTAAGATGCTTCACAGTGGAATAGATTTCATGTTAAGCAAGCGTTTTTGCTCCAAGCTGTTAGCCTAGAGCCCCTTGAGGTACTGTGGGAGCAACATGGAGAGCAACCACCAGCAACCCCCGAGAGCCTCCCCATGGCCAGTACCCACGCTGGTCCCCATTAAGGGTCATTCTGCCCTTGAAGACCTGTTGGTTCAGTAGAGAAGGCTTCTAACAGCAAAACTGAGGTTATGTATCCTTCTGTTTCTGAGACCCTGCAAATATCCTTCTTTATTCCCCTCCACTCCAGGTGTGGTTTTTCCTACAGCAGGTAACTGTTCTCATTGACATTAATTTTTTGACTCTCCCAACAGGGATCGCCAGTGGAAGTTCATAATGTGCCGGATGACTGATTACGACTGTGAATTTGCAAGTGTTTAGATTTGTCATCCACTAAAGCTGGGTACAGGGAGAGGGGCCGGGTGTCCTGAGGGTGTCGCATATGTTTAACATCGGTTGGAACTCCTGTAGCTGTCTCTACTGCTCTCTTTTTTCCTCTTGGAGCTGGAAGCTTCAGTGCCAGCTTCCTGGGCTGCTTGCCTAGGGTCACATTTACAATGAAATTGTGCTTTTCACTTTTAACACACTCCATGGCAACGGTCTTCCATGACTGGGGATGGCTTTCTTACATACCACAGGTACATATAGCAAGCACGCTTCCAGCCCACCTCCTGGAGCACAGCCTTGTGACTGCTGTCACTGTAAAATTAGCTTCAAGCGCAGCATGGTGAACCTGGATGACGGGAGGGCCACAGCTTACGGAGGGGTACAATGAAGGCACCTAAGTCTACTCAACTGATGACCAGGGTCCTCACTAAGTTCAGCCTTCAGCCTTAAGGGGACATGTATCCTCTTTCCCTCTCACAGGAACAGTGTGTGTTGCCAAATCCAAGTGCGGAGCTCTGTGCTCCAGAAGTGAAAGAGGGAGGTGGAAAGGTTTGAGGGCAGAGCTGAATGAAAGACTTAGGGTAGGAAGAAGTTCTTCAATTTAATGATGAGTGCTACCAAACCCAGAGATGAAAATGACTATGGGGACAGTGGTGCCTATGTGAAACCGCCAGGAAGGTAAAAGTAATGAAAAGAGAAATGTCAGAGAATGGGGCTCAGATTGGAACCCTGGGGAGATGAGAGTGGCCAAGTGGCTTTAGAGTCATCAGTAACTAGAGACTAGAGGCTGCCCAGGACTCCTGGGCAGGTTGACATGTGCCTGGTCACCTTGGAGTACCACTGAAAATCTACCTGGACTGGTCCAGGTGGGAAGGCTGCCCTGAGGATCCAATTCTACTTGTGGTATCTCAGAAATGTCTTCTGCAGAGGTGGTCCTAGCTCTTTTGCTCCTCTGATGCTTCTTTCCCCAGCCATTTATATTCTCCCTTCATAACAAAAATAAAAAAATAAATACATGAATAGTTGGCAAATTTCAAGAGTCTTTTTTTTTTTTTTTTTTTTTTTTTTTTTTTTTTTTTTTTTTTGCTTTCTAGTGTTCTAAAAATACTATTTAACATTGTGGTTTATACCAAAACACCAGGAATGACAATGGCAGGGCATGGTTGAGAGTGATCAAGTATTTAAAACAAAGTTGTAAATCTTTACTTAAGGTTGAACAAAAGATAGAAACACGTCTCTCTGATTTTCAGTCTAGCTGTTGAGTCTTTCCTTAGTATCCTTCAGCTCTCCACATCCCAACGTGTGACATACAATTGTAACCATAAGAAGTCCCTCTTTCCTTTGTCCACAGTTTGCTTTCCTCTTCTGATCTCTGTTGCCTTCCCTCATTCTCTTTCCAGGGTGCCCAAGAAAAAACCCAGCTGAGCAGAAACGAGGGATGCGCTTTGCTAAACCCTGAGATGGTCGGGATAGTGAACCCAGCCAGTGGCGGCATTTCTCACTGCTGGATCCCAGCATCATGATGCCAGGAGGCAGCTGAGGGGGTCCTTTTTCTTTGCTCTGAAACACTTTTTCCTCTCGCAGTCTTTTTTGTCTCTTCCATTTCACTGTTTCTGCCTTTCTGGCAACTTCAACTCACCATAAGAAGCTTTCTGGTGTTATTTTTCACAAAGGGAGCCATTAATATTTTAGCAACTGCAGCACTCGTTCGGGATGACAGCTCAGAAGTGGCCTCAGTTGTGTGTAGAGAGAGCCGGTGGGAGAGAGATGAACCGTGCTGATTGGCTGACTGGGTGGCCAATCAGTGGGCTGGGGGCTTTGAGGGAGGATGGCATGGAGAGGCTACACTTAGAGGAGATGGCGGGTGTCTGCAGAGAACACAAGTCAAGAAAAAAGTGGCAAGGCAACCCAGTAAGAGGAGCCTTTGCCAGATGGAGTAAATGAAGTTTTTACAGAGAAAAGCTATTCTTTGTGCGTAAGCCAAGGACAATGACAGGAAGACACTACTAACTTGGTTTGTATATGAATAATTTATACTTACTATTATATTTCAGAGAGCAAGAACTAAGTATCAGAGTCAGGACTGAATTCCAAATATGACTACATGTTCTTCCTCTGTTCTATTTGCACAATTGTTCTACCTGCTTTTGTTACAGTCTTAGATAACTCACCCCTCTTTTCTAGGCCTGCTGTCTAAAAAGCCTAGATAATCATGTGTTTATAGTTAGGACTCATGTGTGGTTTGTTTTGTAGGAGGGGATGGATGGAGCTGCAGTTCCAGAATTCTATGAACTCTTGTCTGCTCTGAATTGTGTGTTAAAGGATTTGCCAAGGCATTTTCTTCCAGGGAAAAAGGCTAACACTGTAGATGCACAGTGATAGGAAAAGATCATAAAATAGATGAGACTTACGTTTGACTCTCATTCATTCGTGTGTTCATTTGTTCAGTCACAAAAGCAATAAGTTATTCAGTGATATGATATACCAACCACTGAACTCAGCATGGTTCTTGCACTACAAAGAACTACAAAATTGAAGAGTCAGACTGTAGTAAAGTTTGAGGTATTTCATAGAGGGTGATTGATAAGGGATGAGGATGAGAAAGTTATATTTCAGGCAATGAAAACAATATTAAGGTAGACATAAAATAATGTGTGGGGTTAAGTTTTCTCAAGAGACAGGTCTCTCCAAGTGCATCTGAAAAGCCCAACGTGCAGCTGTACAGCCCTAGGGAGATCCACAGGAGATAGTGTTATTTTTACATCTTAATCATGATGTATCACACTTATCTGGAGATCAGCTATAATCTGAGATCCCCTGAAACTAGAAATCTAAAGAGGGGGACTTCATCACACACATACACACACACACACACACACACACACACATCGCCCTGGACTGGCAATATCCTTTCTTCGTCTTACTTCTCATTCACACAAACACCCTTTTGCTCCACTTCTTGTATAAAGCCTTGAAATCAATACATATGTTAGTTCTTTCAAAAGAACACATTCTCACAAAATCATTGGTGAATACACAAACTGGTTTTAAAAAGAACAAATCAAAATAAAATACAAAGAAGCCTTCAAATTCTAGACATTTCCATCTTCCAAGTATTTTCTTACTCACCCTGAAATTGGGGGCTTTCTTCCCCAGCTGGCCCTTATCCAGCTGGCTCCAAACCTACTCAAGCCTCTTCCCCTCCTGTGGATCAGAGAATGTGCTGCTCAGTGTGGCCTCACACCCAACTCCCGTGCTTGTCATAGTGGCCAAGAGAACAGCGGTCCTATGGTCAGCAGCATGGCTTTCCTTACAGAGCTTCAAACAGATGCAATTACAGCACACTCTTGGGTTCTATTGCATTGTTCACGAGTAACACCAGATCCTGGCTCCCTTTCTGGAATTCCCAGTCAGTGCTATGTGGTAAGTGGAATCTTATACAAGGTGCCCAGCCTGCACGGGTGGGTCATCCCACCTGTGGTAACTTGCTATTCTCTGCTATGCAATCCATTCCTTTGTAAGCCAAGGACAGGAAAACACATTTGCCTCAAAATTCAGCTGAAGGTATAATAATAATATATTCACACCAGTTCAGATTTTCTAGGAGGCTACAAATTTTCACTGCATGGAATAACCCAAAAAACTGAAAATCAACCAAAACCCCGTTACTCTTAAAGTGTATTTTGGGAAATCTCTAGGCCTAGCTTAGTGCTTGAACCTACCCTTCCTGCCTGTCTTCACCTAATGAAGGCCTGTGTCCTAGGAGGAAACCCCTCATCAATTTATGAATGAATCTCTGTTTCAGAAACAAATGCTAAATAGACATATTATGAAATGCAAATGACGTTTCCTGGATCACAGCATTACTGGGTATTTATTTCTTTGTCCCTCTTTATACATTCTATCATCCTCAATTTGAAAAAAAAAAAAGCTGCCATTGTGTTTACAGTCAATCAGAAAAGAGAAGTAATTTCAATCTTATGAGCAAAAGCAGTCATTGGCTGAGCAATCCAGCCCTGGGATGGTGTTCCAGCTGAAAGGTGACCATATGGTTACTTCATGGACAGAATGAGATTATAATGCCAGATTCTTTCATCTAACTTGCTGCCTAGTGGGTTGTAATTTAATATGCAGAATTACCTGCTCTTTCCAACATCTCTCACCATCCCCAGAGACAGCAGAACAGATGTTGTCTGTCATATGGTTAATGAGAAACTAACATTTAAGACAAGAGCTGGAAATTTCCACCTTCATCCCCTCTTCCAAGTCCTATTTTGGGACTGAGCCTAGACTCTGCTCCTTCAGGACACTCTCCCACAGGTCCCCAGGCTGAGTCCTTCTTGGCTCCAGCAGCATTCTGTCCATCATCTCACTTCTCTGATAGCAGGAGCCTACTTAGTGGGCCTCCAAGATACATGCTCCAGAATTCATCTAGATTTTTGGTTGCTTCTTAGAAGTTATGAAGAAGACCTACCAGAACTCTAAGCAATCAATAATTGAAATATGTGGAAAACCACTTGGAAAATTTTGAGGTTCTATTAAGAGACAAGACATTATGATGATGCTGTGGTTTTGAAAGGGATTAATCCACTTCTTACTGTCTTTCTCCAACATCATTATGTAATTGTCAACTTCATCCTTTACAGAGCCATTTACTAATGATAGGTGAGTTGGAAAGCACAGTGATCAGTCCACACTTGTCACCCATTCAAAAGAGTGTGTCATCACTGGACACTGAATGTCAATTTTGGTGTTTTATGAACTGCACTGAAATGAATGCCTGAGCAGCTAGTATAGGACCAGATACTTGGTGGAGATGAGAGAAAACCTCATTGACTCAACCTTGAGTAGACTGGAAACAGAAAGTTGAAGAGACAGAGTCAGGTTGGTATAATAGGCAGCATGTAATGAACAGGCTTCAGTGCTCACTTTGGAAGCATATATACTAAAAAAAATTGAACAGGCTTCAAAACTTTAACTGAGGGAGAAATGACACCAAAGAATACATCAAAGTATAACAATAGCCCATAGGAAGAAGCCAAGGAATCTGGAGCAGGTGTGTGTGTGTGTGTGTGTGTGTGTGTGTGTGTGTGTGTGTGCATGCACTTGTGTGTCTTACTGACAACTGAGTCCAGAGTCTACACTGAGATACATCCCAGTCCTTTTTCATTTTGAGAAAAGGTCTCAAAGTCACTAAGCTGTTGGACTTGAACTTGTGATTCTTCTGCCTCAGCCTCCCAGAGTGCTAAGATTAGAGGTATGTGTTACTATATCCAGCCCAGAATGGAGCTGATGTCCAGCTGATCCTGAAAAAGTTCAGAGTACATGGTACTGTGCACATGGAGAGCAGTGGAAAGGATTTCCCCACCTAGAGGACTCACCACAATTATTAGCAATCTCAGTTACCATGTTATATGCATTTGATTTGCCCAACACAGTTCAAGATGAATCATATCCATTGATCCTCTTTAATCCTGCTTACAATCTCAAGGGTAACTCTTCATGTATCAAATAAGTAAGTAAATAAATAAATAATGCTCTTGAAGGTGAAGTGACTTGTTCTAGGTGCCTGGGTTGGCTGAAAGTTTCCTGGCTTAAAACCACTACCAGATATAACCTCCACCTCACATCTGTGATGTGAAAAGCCCCATCCAAATAAGCACATCAATCAGTCTGTTCATTTTGGTCTCTGTGAGTCTCTTTTGCTGGCAGACTCTAAGGTGAGCTCATTAGCCATCGCCCCATGGAAAGATGTTCTTGGAAGCCAAACATGCTCAGAGTCACTCCTGCCAGCACATACAAGAGAACATGTCATGCAGATTACTTCTGTGCATAGGCTTCGAGGAGTCTGAACTGAAACCTCTCACAGTCTGAATTTCCACAGCCTATGTTGGAGAAGGACCTCACACAAATTCCAAGTGAAGGCAGTCGCTTGGTGCCCTTTATGCAAAGGTAAGCTCAGGAAAATTCGCAGGACTCACAGTAGAAAATATTGGGGAAAAAAACCAGGGGATCTACGGACTTGACCCTT